TATAAATAAATTATACTAATAAATATGCATACCGATTTGTAGAGTTAACCTATTTCTCACGCTCTTTGTTTATATAGAGTGTATTCCGTTTCATGCATATGCGCACATTGAGTGTGTTTTGCCGAAGTTAGCGCTACGTAGCGCTACGTAGCAGCTTCATGTAGCAGTTGCAACTGCTTACAAAAATGGCGGCCACTACTTAGAACATGCTGCGCGTAGCAATACTGTCCAGCANAAGTAACGCANCAGTTGCAACTGCTACATGAAGCCGCTACGTAGCGCTACGTAGCGCTAACTTCGGCAAAGCGCACCCATTATCTTATTGCATGTTACGTGTACTATAGAATTATGGCGGATCTCAGTCACTGCGCAAAACGTGACGAAAATTGTCCGAGANACGAGCACACCTTATTACTTCCACCATGGTATATATTAGGGCTGCGGCTTAAATTTGAATAACAGTGTGATTCGGATATCCGGATATTCGAATATAATATATATGTACGAATAAACTTCGATCAACGGATAGTATTCGAATATCCGGATACTTCGTGCAACGAATAGTATGAATAGTACTATTCGAGTTATTCGAATATCCGTTGTGACGGTAATCGCGTCGCTCCTCCCTCGCCACAAAAGCTCGAATGATCGCGGGAGATCCGGAGGTGCGAACCGTCTGGGAAGTGCCAGGATCCTCCAGGGCTTGCTTGCGTGCGTTAAATTTAGTCGCTTATTGTGTTATTTTTTTGTATGCTCTTGGCGCCTCACCACACTGAGAACACACTACTGGAGGAAGTATCAGGAGCCGTTGATTGTTGGATAAAGGCGAGAGAAAGCGCGAGAGAAAGGCGGGCGTGAAGTCGCAGCTAGGCACTCGCATGACGGCCAGAGGGGTGAGTCTCAAAGAACCAGTGGCGCGGGAGAGGACTATGACGAAGACAGCGGACCTCGGCGCTGGGTAGCCGAGAACTAAATACGAATACACAACGATGGGGACAGCGTTGACCTTCCTCTCGCACCGGAAAAGCCGTCTGCAAACCTTTGCTGCTAACCTGCAACTACTACCCTGCTGCGCTACTGCATGCTGCATCTTTGTTGAATCTGCGGAATCCAACGCTTGGAAATCTCTGCTGCTTGCATTTTTGCTAGTGAGGGCCTGGTAATCTATTTGAATTTCGCGGCCGTGGGTCCTGTCGCCGAGCGCGAGCATCGCGTCGCGTGTAGCGCCCCTCGCGACCTGATTGGCCGCAGCGATCTACCCTAAGCGATCCTAGCGCGCTCAGACGCATCGACCCCGAATCCTCGCTCTCTCGGTCGCTACCTACCGAACGGGACGGACGCACTGACGGCATTCCCGACGATCTATTGTTCAACGGCGAATCTGGCAATTTTTCTAGATGGAGAGTGACGACGACGTACGATGAGGTGTCCTCGTTTAATTGTGAGCCACGAATCCGCGTTACTCGAGTCTCGTGTCGAGGCTAGTCGCTGAATTTCGCGTGTTGGTACCGGCAAGAACATAACCTTTGCCATAGGTTCGAATTTTCAGCAGCGGCTAGAATCGGATTTTACGGGGCTTCGTGGTATTAGTTCGTAGGTTTAAGTGCGTCTCGCGTAATTACTCTATTGAGTATTACAAGCCCTAGAGTTCCAGTAATGTGCCAAGCAGCATCCTAGTCATTTTGTTGTGTCTCGCGTGTACAAGTGTTTATCTATTGTATCGTTTCGCGGCCGCCATATTTTGTACTGGGTATCGTACCGATCATCGTACCGAATACCGTACCGATTATCGTATCAACCTAACCTAACGCTATCGTAACGTGTTTCGTCCTGCGTAACATTTATAGCTTATCGGTCACCTGTTGCTGTACTGATTTTGCACTCTATCGTACCGCTATTACATTTTCTAAGGCATTTTGGTGTGGATTTTCCGAGTGATCTGCCTAGAGTGAGAGGTGAGCGATTCGGAGAAGCCATACAAGGGGAATATCGTACCGCTATCGTACCGAATCGAAGAGACCTATTGTACCGTACGGAGGGATCTATCGGAGCGGAGAGCGCATAGCTCTCGTTCCGTGTGGCAAACTCTACAACGGACTCGCCATTTGAAACAGGCGAAGATTACAGCCATTTTGATTCTAACTTGAACCAGCTTTTCCGATTTCGCGAGCGCTTTACTCAGGTGTGCTAATTGGCACGTGCTTGCTGCTTTATAATTGGCTGCTGAAGTACACCGTGACCAGTGACGGGAATTCGGCGAGAGCTTCGCGCCGTGCAGGCATGCAGTGTAATCCCGACGAGCCCTACGAGATCAAATAAGTTCGTCGGCGCAGATATTACGTTTTGCGACCCGCCTTGGCACGCTTTACTTAGCGGTAAGCGCACGATTTGACCAGATTAATCTATTCAGCCGCTTTAAGATTCCTGAAAGCTTTGATTAAAACGTTTGGCACGTTGTCTATCCTATTGCCTGATAACGTATAGCTTATGTGAAGTCAGCGCGACGACGTAGCCAGAGGCGTATTTAACGTCGGTGCAACCGGTGCGATGCACCGACGGGCCCCGGGATCTGCGGGCCCTCGATGCATGATAAACATTTATAAATTTATAATATTCATAACATTACCTATC